TCCCTTCCACCTGTTTTCTCTTGGCCCTGTACTTTTCCCAACTCTCCTCAGACGCTCACTCAGGTACTGCTTGAAGACTTCTCTACGTTCCCCTATTTCTTCTTTCAGCTCGTCATCCCACCACTTAACCGATACCCCACATCGTACCACCTTCCTTCCCACTACTCTCTCTGCCGTTGCGTTCACGATGGACTCCCACCCTTCAATCACCCTGTCCCCTGCTGCCTGTACGTCTACCTGTCCGTCTTCGACGCTTCTCAGCAGTTTCCTGAAGGATTCTACACTACCAGCCAGCCCCTTCTGGAATTCATCCCGTGTCCCATCGTCTCCCAAACGCTCTACCTTCCACCGGAACACTTTCCTCTGTTTCTTACTCTTGATCTTTCTGGATCGGTCGATGTTTGCCCATATGAGGAAGTGGTCGGTCGAACCTATATCTATCGCACTTATGTGCAGCTCTGGGATCTGCGTGCTCCCCCTGTCTACCAGGATGTAGTCGAGGATTGAGTATTCATTGCAAACTGCCCGTTGCCTTGTGAACTCCGGCTTATCGCATTCCCTCCTACCGTTCAACACCATCAGTTCGTTGCTTCCCAAGAATTCAAGCATCCTCACTCCGTTGTCATTCACTTTGTCTTCTCCGTGCTGCCCGATCGCCTGTCCTCTACTGGAAGTTTTCACTACTCTGGAGTTGAAATCCCCCAGCATGACAACTTCTCCCTTGCTACTGAACCTCTGGACATCTTCCCCAATATGTCCAAAGATCTCCTGCGCCTTGCGACTTTCTTCGACGACGGTGGGACGTACACGTTTCTTAGAAATAAACAAGTCTTTCTCACCCCGCTCCCCAGGTATCTTAAGCCATAGGCTTTCCTCGAATTCCGTTTTCACCACTACTTCCACCACGTCAAACAAGTGTTCCTTGACCAGGAATCCGACTCCCCCCTCCCCCCTTTTCTTCGGGTCTAAGCCCTTTCTTGCCTTCCCTACCCACCGGTATTTCCCTAGTTTGCTTACCACGTCCCCATCCTTCAATTCCCACGTCTCTTGGATCCCCACTACATCTAGATCGCTTTGTTCTACTTGGTCCACTATTTCCAACCGCTTGCGCTCACTCCTTGCGAACCCGCACACGTTCCACGACCCGACTCTCAGCTTGTGCTTTTCCCTTTCGGAGATTTTGCGCACTCTATCGTTCGCCTTCCGCTTGTTCTCGGACTTCTCCTGACTTGCCTGCTCGCCTCCCCCGCTCGTTCCTTTCTTCGCCTCCATCGCCCTCGCCTATNCTTACCACGTCACTATCCTTCAATTCCCACGTCTCTTGGATCCCCACTACGTCTGGATCGCTTTGTTCTACTTGGTCCACTATTTCCAACCGCTTGCGCTCACTCCTTGCGAACCCGCACACGTTCCACGACCCGACTCTCAGCTTGCGCTTTTCCCTATTGGAGATTTTGCGCACTCCATCGTTCGCCTTCCGCTTCTTCTCGGACTTGTTCTGACTTGCTTGCTCGACTGCCCTGCTCGGTCCTTTCTTCGCCTCCGTCGCCCTCGCCTCTTGTCTCCTTACCTTCTCTGTTTCTATCATGTTCGCGATGCAAACCCTCCATCCCAACTTCCTTACGTAGTTCGACAGCTTCTCGATGCCAACCCCGAAGCACTCTTGGCTGTCTCCCTTGGTCAATATCACCCGAAAGTGTTCATGCTCTCTGCTTACTTGTCCCCTTGCC